TTGTTTTTTTGGATTTTTGAGACAGAGTTTCACTATGTGGTCCAGGACTCCCAATCCTTTTGACTCAACCTTCTGAGTACTGGGATTACAGGTGTGTACCACCATGCTTGGCCAATTCAGTTAAATTTGATAATTTTTGAGATCTAGGATGAGGACAGTATTTCACTAGGCCCCAAAGATATAGCAAGAACCATGTCTTCGCTAAACTTACAATCTCCAAGTCCAGGCTTTTGCCTGTATCCTGCTCAAGCTAGACTTTGAACTCAGGGCCCTTCGTGCTGGAACAATAACCTTCCCTCTAGTGGTGAGTGTGGCTGCAGCATCACAACATCTTCAAGCCAGACTGTGAGGGCTGAAGTCACCTTCAGGCAACAGGGCTGTCTGAGGAGAAGCCTGACTCCTCAGGTGTTGAGTGGGAGCAGGTGTCAGTTCAGTATAACATCTGGGTTAGCTCTGGGAGGCAATCTTTCTGACAAAGAGCTGACTGTGCAGATTGAGAATTACTACTAAAACTAGGCAAATGATGTACTCCTGTTACCAAGGGAGCAGCAAGGCCAAGTATTCAACCAGAATGCCCACCTCGTGTCTGTTAATTCTAATTCCAAACAAGCACATTCCCAGATCTTCTCCAGGGATCTTCTTGAGGTTCATAGGGTGAATTGCAATCCTCTCCTAGCCTTGCCTGACTCTGAACCTCTCTGACAAAGAGAGATCCAAAAATGAGATAATGTGCTGCCTGGGACCCAGAGCAGGACTTGAAGGACTAAGCCAAACCCATGCAGACCACAGTCACTGCCTTCTCAGCCTCTCGTCTGCACTGTCATCACTTCACTGGAGACAGGAAGACAGAGCTTCTCACACCATTTGCTCTTCAGATGAGCACAGGGCAACGTCTTAAATATTCCTGATACCCAGCTCCTTGCTCAGTCCAACCAGGATTGTGTTCCCTGAGCAAGAAAGAGTTCATCAAAAAAAAAAAAAAAAAAAAAAGAAAGAAAGAAAAGGGGGGGGGGGATTTAGCTCAGCGGCATAAGTGCCTGCTTTGCAAGCAGATAGTCGTGAGTTCGATCTCTGGTACCAATAAAAACGAAAAAGACAAAAAAAGAAAAAGAAAGAGTTCATCCCAGACAGAACTGGTCTCTCCCCTGGGCCCAAAGATAAACTGTATTTACCCCCAGAGAAGCTCCTCATCTTTTAGTGTTACAAATTTGAACTTTCTGAGTCTCTCTCCCAAGACCGTGCAACAGAGGCACTAAGGGAAGCACTGTGATTCTGGACCACTGGGTCCAATTCTATGGGAAGGAGGCTGACCTGGCCCCAGCTCCTGACCATTTTGATAGGATTCCAATTTGGGATTTGCCCTTGACAGCCTAAGACTGTACTACATAAGGACAGAAGATAACAACCATCATTTCTGGACTTAGGGCCGTTAGCCATCTGCCTACTGATGCTCCTTGCTGTCCCAGTGTGTGCCCAGAGCTGTGGAGAGTCTTGGCTAAGGTGTTCCCTGGATCCTCCAGGTGCTCCCACTTCAGGGTTGACCCAAAGAAAGAGTGAGCAATCAGTCACCCTATCTCCATCCGCTTTTAGTGCTATATATCCCACAGAGATAGACCACGAGAACCCCGACCGTTCAATCCGATGCGCTCAGCCTGCTTCACGGACCCTTTGAGACATTTCCCTGGGTCTGTCCCGCTCCTCAATCTGCCAGTTCCGCCCTATTAGGGTTCTTGCCCCGCCCGCCCTTCTAGGAGGCGTTAGTCCCGCCCCCAGCAGGCCTCTCCCCGCCCTCACTTTTCCAGTACCCAGGCATTTAAACCACGCCCATCACCCCGCCTCTTCCGCAGGTCTACTGCTGACTACTCAGTCCTCTGGCGCCACCTCCTGGGAGCCCCCTGGACACTGTCCCCTTTTCGTTCCAGTGTGGCTAGCTGGCCACTCTGCTGGGCGGGGGCAAAGGACAGCACGGTCAGAATCACGACCAAAGGCGAGTTGTCCACACGCCCACCGTGAACTGTAGCAGCTGGGCCTGTGCACGCAGACCTCCACGGGAACATGAACAGTCTTAACTTCTCTCCATCTCAGCTGAGGCTGCAGGGTCACCTACATCAAAGGTGATGACAGTAGGGGTAGGTAAGTGCCCTGGCTGGAAAGACTCAGTGGCTGTCCCTACCCCAGACTGTCCTCCGGGGGCGCCTCCTTCAGGAGCACCTCAACCCCTGAAGATAGGGAAATGGAACCCAGATCTTAAGTGTTCATTTAATTCCTTGCTGCTTTACAATACAAATGTATGCAATTTACTTATATTTTGAGACAGGATCTTGCTAAGTCATTAAATTACCCAGGTGGCCTCAAAATTGCCTCCTCCTAGCCAGGCATGGTGATCCATGCCTGTAATCCTAGCACTTGGGTGGCTGAGGCAAGAAGATCACTTGTTTGGTTTTTTTTTTTTTTTAAATTGCCATCCTGTATCAACCTCTTGAGTAGGTGATAATAGGCATGTGTTGCCTCATCCAGCATGAACAAAATTTTATAATCAGAAAAATCCCTGAAGTGTTTGGGTCACATTTAGGATTGAATCTGCCTCATACTAGCTGCAACACCCAGTTCTGCTGCTCTCTAGACCTCTTTTACTTTGCCTCCAGACAGTAGTTGGCAAGGTAAGCAAAGCAGAAAATGTGTAAGTGACTGGACTGATCTCAATTTTTAAGGTATGGTAATATATAGGGAGAAAATGAAGCTCACTTTCCAGATTATTACTTGAGTTACGGCTTCCATGCTTGACAGGGGAAGAGCTTGTTCAGCCTGTTGGCAATGTGGAGAAGGATGCTCCGGGCTGCCTTGGGCAGGCACTGAAACCCCTAGAGGGCAAGCTGGTCAGGATCTTAGCCCAGGGCGGTGCTTTTATGCCAGGAGACAATGTGGACTCTTGTCATACTCTGCCCTTTACAGGGAAGGTGATCCTTTATCTCAAGTCTGTCCTCTTGTTCACAGTGTCTTAGAGCCCTTTGGACATAAGCACTGTTCTTACCTCACAGATGGGGAAGCAAAGCCAGAAAGAACCCAGGAGTTTGTCCCAGAGCAGAGGAAGACGGGAAAGATACATTCCTGTGTAGTCTCTTCTTGCCTTTCCTTTCAATCACCTGCTCAAAAGACGTGAGCAGGGCTAAGCATAGTGGCATCTGCTCGTAATCCCCGTATCTGGGAGGCTGAGGCAAGACCAGCCTGGGCTATACAGTGAGGTGTTCAAGGCCAGCCTGGACTACACAGTGAAGCCCTGTCTCAAAAACAAAAAGCATTCAGAGCCACCTTCACCAAAGAAGTTGGGCATGACTGGTCAAGAGCAGGAATCTTCTAGGCCAAATAACAGATACTTTATCTTTACAGTGGTTGCACAGAGGGCTGGGGATTTAGCTCAGTGGCATAAGTGCCTGCCTTGTAGACATGCAGTAGTGCGTTCAATCCCTGGGACCAAAAAAAAAAAAAAAAAAAGGTAGTTGCAGGGTATCAGATATGGGCATAAAAATTTCTCCAATCAATATTAGCACATGTAATATGTTAACTATTTTTTTTTTTTTTGTCTTTTTCCTTATCGGTACCAGGGACCAAACTCACGACTGCCTGCTTGAAAGGCAGGCGCTTATGCTGCTGAGCTAAATCCCCAACCCCCTATATGTTAACTATTACTATTCTATTATTGTATGAAATTTTATTTTTCTATAAAAAGTTTTTAAAAAGCACTTTTTAAAAACCCAAAAAACTACCAGATATGTTTCCCAGGGAGGTAGGGTAGGATGGAGACAGCCCTGAAGGCCTTACAGTTTTCTGCTGAGACCCAAGTATTTCCTTACTCAAGTACAGGACAGTAAGATGTTAAGCAGAAATTCCTAAAGTCAAGAAAGCAAGGAAGGTCATTCTTGGACCCCTACTACTATGCCAAGGAGTTGAGGTACATACCCCAAAAACATGCTGGGGATGACAGCATTTCCTGGTACTTATAGTGTGCTGCAAACTGAGGTCCTAACTCCAACCAGTAGTTTAAGACAGGATCTCCTTGCGTAGTTCAGGCTGCCTTTAAACTATGTAGCCCAAGGTGGCTTTGAATTTGCAGTGACACTCCTACCTCACTCTCCCAAGCGTTAAAACTACAGGCATGTGCCACCCCACCTGGTTGAGTAGTTTTCTGACCTTCAACAACTTTCCACTAGAACTCACCTCTACCAGGGATCAGTTTTCTCTGGGTCTTGAAAGCTGTGAGCAAAGGAGCAGTCTAGAGGCTATATGAGAAGGAAATGGTATGGAGATGGTGAGGCAGAGATGAGTCCTGAAAGTCACGGTTTTCTATGACAAATGGCCCTCTGAAGACACAGCTGCTGCATCTTTGTCTCCCATGTGCTGAGCAATGTCTCAGGACAAGTACTTTCTGGGCACTGAATCACACAGCTTACTCAGATGTCTTGACCACCCCAAGCGACGGAATTAGAGTTGACCACCCAGGATCTATAGATCCAAGGACAAAGTGGCCTGGCTAGAGACTATACTGTCTGCCCCAAGGCCAACATTAAAGCTGAGGCTGATCACCAGGGAGTGGCCAGCCCACAGGCAGTAGAAGCAGGAGCCAGAATGAAACTGTAGTCCCACTTCACAGAGGCTCAAACTGAAGGGCCACTGCCTAGGAGCTGCCCCATTCCAGGGCAGATGCATGTGACAGCACCTTTCCCACCATCCTCTCCCCACCCAACCTCACTGGATTCTCTGCCATCCTCAATCCCCTTGCAAATGAGAAACTGGGGAGCAATGAGGTTTTTCTTAGTTGGCTAAGGGTAAGAGCTTTCTTATTAAGAGTTTCTGGAGCACACACTCCTGCCTTCCAAGTACAGAATGGTTAAGGGTCTCTGTGAGGGCCAACTGGTCCTCTCTTTCCTGTCATATGATCCTCCCACCACTCAAGTCTGAGAACCTACAGAAGCCAGGGATATAGACACTCGGAGGCAGTGACATTGTAATAAAGACACTGCTTTTATTTAGTTTGATATGTTTCTATACAGAATGCAGAAAACACATCTTAAAATCATATAAGAAGAAAATAAAAACACATCAGTGGTTGGTGAACACTTGAATGTGAGATTGGCTCTCCGTCTCAGAGTCCAAAGGCCATCTCCAGCCCAGCGCTCAGGGAGGAGGCTGCCTGCAAAGGCATTGTTGCTGTTATTCTGTTCACTGCCCCAATGCCTTCCGTTGCTATGGCAACAGGCCATTCTCTGGTCTCTGCTTGGCAATGCTCCTGGTGGGGTTGCTAGGGGCAACAGAGCTATTGAAAGCCTTTCAAACCCTCACCTGGAACTTTGGGAATTATTTGTTTTTTGACAGATCATCAGAAATAACCTCACCAGGTCAGATCCTACTTGTGCTCCTGCTCTGCGAGGTCAGGAAAACTCCCTAAGGACAGAGCTCGCAGGAAAGAGGCCTGGTCACCAGCACTGAGCCTTCATCTACAGGATCTTCACCCAGGAACACTGTTCACTTGTGTACCCTGCTGAGAGCAGGGGCAGGGGAGAAGGGTGGGCCCCTGCAGGGGCCACTCTGGAGAAGAGCAGACTGGAGTCCTACCCTCCTGCAGGCCTTTCCCTCTTGAAGCAGCACACAGTCCTCTGCAAAACAGCTGACTCCTCTGCAAAACACTGGATATGGCTTAGAAGTAGCTGCTCCATGTGCAAAGGGAGCCTGGTCCACCCACCCACCCTCTATAAGGGAAGAGATACATTATTGCAAAAGGCATTCCTCCCCTAAAAGTTACCCGAAATAACTCAGACATCAAGAAAAATCATGCTCAAAATGGTTTTTCCAAAGGAGGAGAATGGAAGCAGAGTGGGCACCCCTGAGTCATGGGACAGAGATGCAGATGGACGGACGGATGTTCTGCTAAAAAAAGTAAAAGAAGTCCCAGTATAAATCCAAAACCATTAGGAAGAGGCGGGAAAAATCAAAATGAAAAAAGCTGTCAGTTCCATGGAATCGACACTAAGAGCTTTTACAAACTGCTGTAAGCATCACCATTTTTAATCTTTTTAATAAAACAATTGGAGGTTGTATAAAAACTTTAGTAAAAAATTAGCTTTGAGAGCCCACAGGTTTTTACTATGAACTATTGCTGGCACTCCCACCCAGCCACCAGACCTCTTCCAATCGTTCAGGCCCAAGGTCTGGGACTGGAGCGCCAGAGAAAAGGGACGGGGCATGTCAGGGCAGGACTGTAGGCTGCTGGGACAAGGTGGCCAAGGTCAAGTGAGGAAAGAGAACCACATGACATAAAAATATTGCATCTTCACTAAAATGTCCCCCACTGAGTGTTTCAAGAAAACATGATATTCCTTTTAGAAGGGAAAAAAAACCATACAGAAAGAAAAAAAAAACTTAAGTTGACATGGTCGAGGAGTTCTCCGACCTCCCGGGTGCCCCCAACAGCAGGTGGTCCACCTTGGAGCACCTAGGTAGGGGGCCACAGCCACTACTGTCTCTTGGAGTCCCTTTTCCATGGAAATGAAGACCCCTTGGTGGTGGGCCACTAGTGTGCATGGGGTGGAGGTGGGGATGCCCATGACCTGAGAGGCCCCTCCAGCTTCCAGCCCCTGGCAACAGCGGGAAAGCAAGCCCAGCACCACGGCCCTGGCCCCCAAGCCAGGGCCAGGAGGCCCCCAGTCAAGCTCTGGAGTATCAGAGCAACCAAGTTGACATAGTGTGAAAAAATAGGATTCCTTTGATAAAAAATACTGTCCCTTGGTCTTTAAATTTGAAACACCCTGGGAGCTTATTTTTAGCAAAGCAATTCCCCATACCCACCCAAAAATTATACATACAAGTTTAGGTAAACAGCAGATTAAATGTAAAAACTTAACCGTAACTTCTGAAAGTCCTTTGAATTTAATCTTTAGCTACTGTTTTCCATGTTACATCCTGCAGCTAGACACATGTGAATAGAAAAAAACAGTACAGTTAGTGTTAAAGGCAAAATGCAGAGTGCTGGGGGCTACCCAGCACCGCCTGCGAGTTCATTCAAGGTTCCTCGCTCCCTCCATCTACGTCTACTCAAACAGTACTTTTAGAGCCAGCCATCAAAACGCAGCGAAGAATTTTCTATGAACAAACAAAAAGCTGTTAGGCAAAAATAAAAATAAAAAAGTCCCCAAAGTCTCTCCAGCTGCTTTGGGGTTTGGGAGGACCAGAGGGTGGGCTTGTCTAGGCCCTGTGTGTCAGTTGTGTGCTAGGTCAGGTGTTGGCCACCGGTAGGTGATAATCTGCAGGCTACCGGTCTCCACAGACAACACCAAGTTGTCTCCAGGCCCCTGCCCTACCCCTGCCTCCACCCAGGCGCTTGTGGATTAAGGGGGGACGTAGGGAGGGGGTGACCGGTATGGGGTCATGTTCTTGGGACGGGAACCCTTGCCCTCCATGGGGGCTGTGAAGGGTGGTGGGGGCTGGTAGGGAGGTGCATTGGGGTCCTCATCCCGCAGGGGTGTATACTCTCCCATAGTGTCCTGGTTCAGGGGAGTGGTCTCAGGAACACTCTGGTTGGGGTATTCAGGAGGAGGGAGAGGAGCCTTCTCCTCCTGCAAAATGAGTGGCATGCTGGAAGAGGGGGGTGGCTTGGAGTCATCCAGCTCATCGGCAAAGATTATAGGCACCCCCTTCTTGATAAAGGTGGCCTGGTCCTCGAGGGTGAGCTTGCCCTTCCGCTTCTTGCGATAGCAAATCATGGCAATGATGCCTGCAATGAGCAGGATGGCTGCAACCACGACGGCTGGGATGACTGTATGCAGGTACACATCATCCTCACTGCTCTTCTCAGGGTCCCTGTCTGGCACCTCTGTGGGTGGTGCCTCTGAGGGTACCCTCTTGGGTGGCATGACAGGGATAAACTGTAGGTGCCGACAACTGCCAGAGCCTGTCACAGCAATGCTCATGGCCTTGAAGTCAGGCTCCAGGGCGTTGGAGAAGGCAGGCCGGGGTTTCCCATTATCTTCGGCAATTTTCCTGCTCAAGGCTATGATCTGCTCTTTGGGGCAGGGCTCCAGGGGCAGTGTATTGTTGGTCCACTCCACCAGGATGGAGCCTTGGGTGATATTCTGCAGAGTGATGGTGCTGCAGTTTCGGTCCCCAAAAGCAAAGGCTAGCTTCTTCACCAAGGCAATCTTCTTGTGAATGTCAGTCACCACTGGTGCTGGATCACCTAAAAATTTGGCCTTGAACCTTGCAGAAGCCTTGTCCCCTTGAGGGCGCTTGTGAACATGGATCTCAAAGGCATCTACAGCTGATAGGCCCCCTTTGTCTGTGGCATGCATGAAATACTCATGTTTGCCCACATGGCTGCTGTCAGGCAAGCCATACATGAGCTGGCTGTTGCTGTTAAATTGCACCCAGGACTTCTCACCTACCAGCTGCTGCTCTCGCAGCTTCAGAGTCAGCTTTAGCTTGTCAGTGGTGGTATCCTCATTGTCATAGAAGGTGTCTGATGGGATCTTCACCTCAAAATAGGTGCCCACCCAGGCATCTACCCTGTCGATGTGATTCTTGAGCTCCGGGCGCTGGTTGGGTTCACCTCCACGGGGGACTCCGCTGGTGGTGGTGCGGATGCGAGTCGGTGGGGAGGCTGTTTCCAATCTGGTGATGGGAGCTTTGGTGGTAACTCGGGGTCCTGGTCGGGGTGTCCGAGGTTTCTTGGTTGGCCTGCGAGTTGTAGTAGTTGAATCGGTTGAAGGTGTTGCTGGTTTTGGTGTGGACACTCGTGGCTTCTTTGTGGTAGTTATGGGAGGAGTGGCAACTGCTGTGGGCTCCATATAACCAGGAATGGTCATTGTTGGGCGAATCTGTCCAGGAACCACGGTGCCAGCTTCTGACACTCTAGTGGGCTGGATAGGGCCTAGGGTTGGTGTCTGAATAATGGCACCTCGAGTCCGAATAGTGACTGTGGGTTTCCCAGGAACAGGATCCCGGACTGGAGGAACCATAGTCTCTGTTGGAAGAGCAATGGCTGGAGATGTGGGAGTGGGCACTATCCTGGATGGTGGCTCCTGGATGGCTGTGGTTGGAGGTCCAATGGCTGTGACAGGTGTGGGTGTGGCATGGATCTGCCTTCGGATTCGTTTGAGGAGAGGGGGCTTTTTATTGGCGATGTGCCAACCAACCACAGGGTAGCCAAGCTGGGCAGACATAGCACCCTCCCTGGCAGGGACTTCTACGCCATGAATGTCAGGCACATTATTCTGATTCAGGGAGCAGCCCAGCTTCCAGGAAAGCAGAGCCCCATTCTCTACCACCTTCTTTGCATTTCCTGGACCAGCCATGAAGGCCGACATGTCAAAAAGCCTATTATTCACAACTGGTACCAACTTCATATTGTGAATCTCCACTTCTGAGAAGCTCTGCATCCTGTGGAGGAGGTCTATCCTTTGCTTTGGGGTCATTTTGGTGAGGTCAGCATCCAGAATCACTGTCAGGACAGTCACTGGCTCGTCAGCAGCACAGGCAGATGACACTATCTCACTAGGGTCTGATGAGGCTGCCCGTATGGACTGTGGTTCGCTGTGGTCTTCGGGGTAGACCTCAATGGAAAACACACTGGAGGTCTGGGGGATGTGGCTCCCATTGGCCCCTAAACGTGCAGCACTCACTGAAATATAATGTACACCCTTATCTGTGTCGAGGGGGAGACCCTCTAGGGTGTGGCTCTGTGGGTCCCAGTGCAGCCAAGATGGCAGAGCCTCCTTCCCAGCAGCTGATACCTAAAAGAGACACAAGTATATATTACAAGTGTTTTTGTCATAATATAATCAACAAATTATCTGTAGTTAACCACTGGCCTAGCCAGTGTTGTATGGTAGGCTTGTATACAACAGGGTTATATGGTAGGCTGGAGGTGTAATTCAGAATTTCTGTTGGGCGCTGGGCATGGTGATGCACGCCATAATCCCAGTACTCAGGAGGCTGAGCCAGAAAGGTTGTTGGGAGTTTGAGACCATCCTAGGCTACAAAGTGAGCCCAAGGCCAGCCTGAACTGCATAGTGAGGCCCTGTCTCAAGAAGACAAAAAAAAAAAAAAAAAAAAGAATTTCTGTTGAGGAAATCAACTCCACTCTGACAAAGAGGTACAACTCTTATACCTGTCACAAAAGTCTAAAGTCACCAGGTAGGCTAGCTTGAAGGTAGATAATTCATTCAAGGCCACACAGTGGAGGATACTAGCGCTAACACTCTACTCATGTCTCATTCCCTAGAAGTAATGTCCTGGAGCTCAAGAACATCGTACATTGTTATACCAGTGGCATATCCTGCCATCTACTTGCCCATGCTACTTAAAGAACCAAGTGTCTCATCCCAACCTTCAGCATTCTTTTCCAGCTTCTCAACAATTCCTTCCCTGCCCTCCGCAGGCACCACACGTTTCTGAACTTGGACATCTGGCCTGGATTGCCTTTCCTGTCTGGGTACAAGGATGAGAAGGTTCAATGCCCCAGAATTTTTACAGTTGATAGATTATGGTGTTTGAGGGCAGAATGGTATTTTTGTGTGGCAAAGACAATTGATTGTATGTAATGTTTAAATTAACCCTGCTTCTCAAATTTCAAGAAAAACTATGGTTCCAGCCAAAATGGGGGGACTAGGATGAACCATTCCAGAGCATAATTTATTAAAGGAACCTAAAGAAGTCTGGTATCTCTCTCAGAGAGGTTCTGAGGTCACATATGGGAAATAATCAGAGCCCATCTCTGCCCTTGGCAGAGAAGAGGCTAGGGAGTTCATCCTCTTATTTTATACCACAGCTTTTCCTAGACTTCTTTCAGTGTGGAAGTCCTCTTCTACTGCAACATAACTGGTATTACTCTGAGCACCCAAGTGACCACCACCATAGAAACTTCTACTATAAGCTGGACATAGAGATGCATGCCTGCAATCAAAGCACTTGGGCAGCTAACGCAGGGTGATTGTCCCAAGTGTGATGCCAGCCTGTGCTACAAAGCCTGAATTACAGAGCAAGATGTTGTCTCAAAAAAACAAAAACAAATAAATAAGAAACATCAACAAAACTTCTATTGTAAGGCGGGGGGTGGGGTGGGTGTAGCTCAGAGTTCTTGGCATGTGTGCAGCCCTGAGTTAAATTCTCAGCACTGAAAATAAAACAAACAAAAAAAAACCCAGAAGAATCCTTCTATTACCATCTGACAAAAAAGAAATTAAGACTTGCCTTTTGCCCAGGCCCCATCTCTCCTCTCACCTTTGTGACATACCTTCTCTGCTCAAAGGTACCCTCAGTTTCACTGTCCTAGGCTAGAGACCCAATGGCTAACAAATGGCGTAATTCCACTGACAGCTTCAGGGACTGCCTTCAGAGCCATCACTTCTTAAAAAATTTTTAATCTATTTTTAGGTACCAGGAATCAAAATCTGGACCTTGTGTTTGCCAGGTGAGTGCCTGTGCTGATGAGCTATATCCCTAGCTCAAGAGCCATTACTTATTAATGAAGGAACATTACAATGCTGATTTCTCTGTGGTAACAAAGCTAAAGCATTATTTGCTGGGTTCCCCAGTAGTGATAGTTCCTTGGGCTTCTTCCTGCCCAAAGATAGGCACCTCAAAGGCTGAAGAGGACACACTGAGCTCACACACCAGATATTCCCAGCCAGGAACCAGCAGCAACCTTATCAGAGACATTTTACTTTTCCTTATTTATTTTTATATTTAAACTTACTTTTAATTATATGCATTTGGAGTGTATGAAGTCTGCATTCACCTTGGGAAGTAGTTACATGTATGTAACACAGCTTGCTTCTTTTCTTTTTTTTAAATTCCCTTTCCACCCACTTTCTTCCCTCCATCTCTAATACTCTCCCTCCTTTAAGTTGGTTGAAATAAGTTTCCTACCTCCAGCAAAAACCTAACCCTAAAAAATTTTTTTAAAAAACCACACACAAAAACATTAAACTGTCTGTAAATATTAATGTCATCCAATTCATGAAAAACACTGTATTTCCTTTAAAATCACTTTTAGTGGCCACTGTGTTCTCTCTTGCATAGTAGCCCACCCTTACACTGTAGGGTATACTTCTTTCCCTACTTTTACTTGGCCCAAACTTGCTTTGCAGAGCCCGTTCCTTTTCTTACTTTTAATAAAATTTTGCTGCTACTTTAAAAAATCATTTTTGACTGGATGTGGTGGTGCACACCTGCAATCCCAGCATTTGAGAGGCAGGAGGATCATAGCAAGTTCGAGGCCAACCTGGGCTACATAGTAAATTCAAGGGCAGTCTGAATGACATAGCAAAAGCATGTCTCAAATTAATTAATTAATCAATTTTAGATATAAAAATAGCTAACTCGGGGCTGGGGATTTAGCTCAGTGGCATAAGCGCCTGCCTTGCAAGCAGGCAGTCATGAGTTCGATCCCCGGTACTGATAAAAAGGAAAAAGACAAAAAAAAAAAATAGCTAACAAATATTTCAGTGGAAAATCCTGAGCTTTCAGTTCATTTATACATTAGATATGAAAACTGTAATATCCACATATAAACACATAAAGCAAAGGTTAGATTTTTTAATTGTTTGTTCTTTTGGTACTGGAAATCAAACTCAGGACCTCGCACTTGCCAGGTAGACACTACGCCACTGAGCTATATCCCCAGCCCACTATTTGTATTTTGAAAAAAAAAAACAAAGCTGGGTGGCCCATGTAGGGTGCTCACAGAACCATGAGCTGAGAGGTACAGGTAGAAGGGGGTCCTAGGAAGGGAAACAGGTGAGTTAGGGAATGGATTCAGCTCTGCAGCCATCGGAGGATGTCTCCTAACCCATTTCACTCTAATGACCACTACTGTGATGGGAGTCCACATAGAAGAGACAGGACAAGGACAGGAGTAACAGGGAAAGCCTGGAATAGAGATCTGGCCAAAGCCAGCCAAGAGGCCACTTGCAGGAGAGAAGAAACAGGGCTGGGAAAGACCAGGAAAGGTTCCAGAGGTGGGAGCCAATTAACTGGCAGGACTCATGGGACACCTGAGCAGCCAGGCAGCTGTGCCCAGCCCATACGTTTTGCTAGCATGGCTGAATGAGAAGTCTGCTGCTTCTATGATGTTTCTAGTGACACAAGGGCATTTTCCAACACACAAAACAGGCCCCATCTCCTCACATTTCCCATTCTTCACACTCTACTGACCCCATCAGCCAAAGTTCTGCTGTGAGGTGTCTCCTATGGAATAAACTCAGGGCACTCTATGGCAAGGCTCCCACGCAGGTAGCCCCCGAAGCAATCCACTTATTTTACCTATGACAACATTTCATGTTAATATCTGATAACATACTCAGCAAACATAAATGAAAACCCCAGGTTTCAAAGCAAGTTATAATGCCCAATGTCAAATTAGAGTATGTGACAGCTAAACTTAGTAAGACTAAACTGAGAAGCCTGGAGAGGCAATGATTAGCCACTAATGAGTTCTTAAACTAAATGAGCTGTTAGGAAATGAGGCCTAGTAGGTCACTGAGGACCTGTCTTGGCAGTTGTTTTTCTTCTTGGGCTCTTCCTCATTCTCTTAGCACTTTGCTTCCTGGCTGCCATGGGTAAGCACCTTTGCTTGACCACCATGATGTTCTGCCTCCTCTCAGGCCCACAACAATGGGCTGAAATTTCTGAAACTATGAAAGAAAGTAAATCTTTCTCCCTTTAAGTTACTTTTATTAGGTACTTTGTCACAGCAATGAAAACCTGACTGACACAGAAGATGGGAGAAGAGAACTGGTAGCTTTACAGAGGACACAATTGTACATGCCTGTAGTCTTGGCTACAGACTTTTAGAGCAAGCTACCAGAAAAACAGAGCCAAGTTTCTCCAATCCACTCATCTGCTTTTCCCTCTACAGACTTTGGCTCCCCAAGATTGGAAGCCCAATCATTAGATGGCTGCAGGGTATTTGTCCCATCTGGATCTACAGCCTGAAACAGGTAGCCTGGGTCACGTGTGCTCAACTTAAGAAGGACATTCTCCCCCCTCACCTCAGGTACCCTGGTACTAGAATTCCATGCTCCACCAGTACTTTCAGTGGCAGCAATTCACTTTCATAACCTCAGTTCCACAGTGCTTTGGCTTGTGTCTAGTCCTCAAAGCCATACATGGTCATAGGTGGGGCTTTTCAGAGATGGCTGTATGATGCTGGGATTAAGGATGTGTGAATACTAAGTTAGTCCAATTGGTTTGGCACAGTTCTGGGTGTGAATCATGGGAAAGCTCACCCTGGCTATGGGTGGCACTACCCAAAGGGAAGGTCACCTGAATGGATATAACGGACAGGAAAAGCATATCTGCTGCTGCTTCTTTGCTACGTCACTGCTTTACTGCTTTTCCTGAGCAATGCCCCTCTGCCATCCCACTCTTGGAGGCCTTAGAGCCAGCTGACTATGGTCTGAAACCTGAACAAACCGTGAGCTACAATAAACCTTTCGTCCTTTAACTCCGGATGTCAGGTACACTTTGTCTCAGCAAGAAAAGTAACTAAGACACACAGAAACCTGGTACCTCTGCATTTTCAAGGCCACACAGGGATAGTCCGAATGTCTAAGGGCTGGTCCTGTCCACAGTCCCCTTAGTTCCAAAAGCAGCTCCTCCCAGGGACAATAAGCTCAGGCCTGACTCACCACACAAGTGCTTGTGAATGAAATTTCTGCTCTACTCTGACCAAGTAGTTCCTTACCTACACGAACTCTGGATTCCCCAGCTTTCAAAACTTTCAGACTCT